GTAGGCACAAGAAGTTTGATGAATTATTCCATGATGTTCTAGGTATTGCTGAAATGGTGAGGAAATGTATTCTTTGGCATTATCGGAGCGAAGTATTTTCATATGAACACCAAATTGAGTGCGTATTTTAGCATGAAATTTCTGAAAAATAGAGAACAATTCACTACGGTCTTTCATAAGATAGATCCATGTCATCCTTGAAAATTCATCAACAAAGATTACAAAATACTTAAATCCATTGTATGACACCACTTTAACTGGACCCCTTACATCAGAATGAACTAAAGCAAAAGGACTTGAGACACGAGTATCAATTCTTGGACTAAATGAGACTCGATGATGTTTTCCCAACTGACATGACTCACAATCTAATGATGAAAGATGACGCAAGGAAGGAACTAGCAGCTTCAAAGCCTTGAGAGAGGGGTGATCAAGTCTGCAGTGCCATTGGAGAGGAGTAAGAGACGATTGAAAAGCCACTGGGGGGCCACCACCATCAAGGTAATACAAACCACCTGCTTCATGCCCTCCACCAATCTTCTTCCCCGTTTTGAGATCCTGAAACACACAAGAAGAAGGATAGAAGGTTACAGAACAATTAAGGGACTTGGTTAATTTACTAACAGACATAAGGTTAAAAGGGAACTTAGGAACATATAAAATAGATGTTAAAGACAAGGAGGAGAGATCAATATCACCAATACCCCAAATAGGAGATGTAGAACCATTAGCAAGTGTAACTGTCTGAGATGTGGAGGAGCGAGAAAGGGAAGAAAATAAATCAAGAGTCCCAGACATATGGTCCGAGGCTTCGGAATCAATGATCCAGGGTGAGGCTTTGGAAGCTAAGCAAGTCATATCTGAATGGGCAAGTGTAGCTGTGTTCTGCTGAGATGTTTGAAGGAACTGCTCATATACTGCCCGTGGTACACTCACCGGAAGCACAAGCGGGTGTGGAGGGGGTTGGGGCTGTTTGCTGGCTTTCAGTAATTGTGCTACTACTCTTAGATGTARCATGSTTAGCCCAAGTGTTGGRTGGACYACGCAAATCATAGCAGAAATTAACTGTGTGCCCCTCTAAGCCACAATGTGTACATTTTCTCTG